GGTTCTTAAGGTAAACCCTAGACCCTGAGTCTCAGGTCTTAGAGCTGGAGATACAGGAATGGAAGAAGCACGCTCGGCACGCGCGCCTGCTGCACCAGCTCATGTTGAGGATTTAGGGCTTAGGGTTTAAGGTTTAGGGTTTTAGGGTTTAAGGATTTAGGGTTTAGGGTTTAAGGTTTAGGGTGTAGGGTTTTCGGGTGTAGGATTCAGGGTTTAGGGGTTTGGTTGCAGGGTTCACGGTGGGCTTGCCGTCTGCTATTCGGTGCGTGTTCGGCAGGTCTGGCTCAAGGAAGGACTCATGGTGGGATCTCGGGACGGTAGAACAAACCCCCTGTTCAGGGGAGATCTTCGCCACAACGGGAATCTATCTTGGGCCATGGTTTCGACAAGTATTTCGAGCAGCTACCATGTCACAAGCATCAAGACCTGAATCCCAAATCCTTGAACCCTAAGCCCTGCACGCCAAACCCGAAAACAGGTTCAGGGTTTGGGGTACACCCTGTACCCTAAGCCCTAAACCCTATAGCCTAGGCGCCAGACCTTGGTGGCAGCTGGGAGAAAGGGACCATTGCACTTTAAAAAGCCTATAGCCATCATAGGCGGTAGATGCTTGGCGCGACATTCGACGCCCCCCCAACTCCTACATTCCACACCCTGCAGCACAGGTGCGGCTGAAACTGTCCGGTCTGAACTAAGCCAGGTAGTCCGCCCAACCTGATTGCCGCACCCCGTTTTCAAGGATTACACCTTAAACCCTAATATGAAGCCTATATAGTCGACGCCATATGCTCGAAACCCTGAACCCTGACCTCTGCAAAACCTCTTCGAAAGAGCCAACCAGCGCTTGGTATACTATAGGGGCCTGTATAATTACCTATATTATTTTGGGGGTTCCTTACTATAGCTAGACTATAAAGGCGCCCCAAATCTATTCTAATTATTAAGGCCCCTGCATGACTCCGCCCCCTGCCTCCCGAGTCCTCAGCACAGGTCGTCGTGACGACGGACGAGTCGAAAGTGGCCCTGAAGGCATCCTTTTCTTGCTTTTTATAGAAAACATAGTTTTGTCTAGGGGTTTGTTGTTTTTTGTTTTTAAGGCGTTTGGGTTTTTTTGCAGTGTGGGAAGTTCATGCTTTTGGTGGGTGTTTGGGTTTTCCAGGGGTTTGGGGGTTTGATTTGGGTTCGAGAGAGGTTTTGGGCTTCGCAATGAGAAAGGGGGGTTGCTCATGACTTAAACCCTAAACCCATCCTTCTAACAAGCAGCTTCCTCGGTCCTGTGATCATCCGGCGATTGCCCAAATTGCCTTTGCCTCAGGATCTGGGGTTCAGGACCTAAACCCTAAACCCTAACACACACTAAAAACATCTGGGGTTCAGGGCCGAGGGACCTTACAGCAGCCTCTGTAGCCGCCTTCGTGGTCACCCAAAAAAGAAGCCTCGATACCTCTAGTCTACATCTCGCGCCCTTGCGAGCTGCAGGCCTAAAGCTCCGAGAGACGGCAAGAGTAAGGGTTTAGGGTTTAGGGTTTAGGCGTGAGGCTTCCTACCAGAGTTCTATACGAGCTTCTGTAAGGGGCCCAACCCACCTTCATCCCAGCCCTGGTGCTAGGCGTTACACTTCCGCTGTTGGCGGGAGGGTGCGGCCGACCATCCCGGGCTGAGGTGACTTCTCTTCCTTGGCCCTGGGGTTTTTCAGTGGGTAATTAGGTCCCTTGTAGGGCCCTTTTTACCAGGGTCCAAGCACCAACTTACTAAATTTGGGGACCGAAAAGGGGAAACCTAATTTAGAGAGCTGCCCAAGTCGACGACCTCCGGGTTTCTTCGCTTCTCAGCGTAAAAACCTATCACCCTCCCCTGAACCTTAAGCGATGAGGGGATAGGGTTCAGGGTTCACGGCGCACCATAGGGTGCTGGCATTCATCAAGTCCAGATGTAAAAAGGCGCACCATACAAAGGCCATGTGGAACGCTGGACGAGTAGCCAGAAATTTGGCAGGACTCCTGCTTTGGATGGAAGCCTCCTGACCGAGTAGGGACCCTTATCTAGAGTAACCTGCTTGTCCTCGTACTAGCTGACGGACTGGCAAGCACTATTTCCTTTTCTGGCCGTACTCATAAGTCATAAGCTTGCTTGCAACCTCCTGACTAGGTCCTCTAATCCTAATAAATTCAACATCACTTTTAAGAGCCGATTGGCCCCCAGTGACGTCTTAGAAACGCCTGACCTATAACCTCGTCCTCTAAAACGTGGAATCCGAAAGCCGGTAGAAACTTCAAAGTCCTACGCCCTACGGCCGAAACCCGAAACCCGAAACCCGAAACCGCAAACCCGAAAGCCCAAACCTACACGCGACCCGAAACCCGAAACCCGAAACCCTAAAACCCTAAAACCCTAAAACCCTAAACCCTAAACCCTAAACCCTAAACCCGAATCCCCGAGCCAAAATCCTCATGGAGAAGCCTTACTGAGCCCTTGCACAACCGCAGTTCTACACTTTAGGCGCTTGAAATTATTAGGTACTTTGGGTTTAGGGTTTAGGGTTGGGGGGGGGTCCTTACTATAATCGCAGGAGAATATCGCCTGAGAGGCGGTTCCAATTATTAAGGTCCCTTTGTTCGAGCCCTTATAGCACCCAAACCCTAGCCTAGTTGTAGAGTAGGTAGCCTTTAACTTTTTTCGGGTAGTATATCCCTATGTAACCCCTATATAAACCCAAAAGGTTAACCTTTAGTTCCCCATGATACCCGACAAGTCAGCTAGAGAGGCAGGGGTACTTCCCGTCTGGTTTCATGCCCGACGGGACTCGGCTCGACTTCGTGCCAGGCCGTGTGGCTCTTTCATGGGATAGGTTCGGTGTCTAGGGTGTGGTGTGCAAAGTCCAGGGTTTAGGGTTCAAGTTTCAGGGTGTACCGTGTACTGCGGTTTAGGGTGTAAGGTGCAAGGTTCCGGGCTTAGGTGAAGAGTTTAGGGCGCGAAACCTTAAACCCTAAACCCATGTCCAGAGGTTCGTTTCCAGAGCCGCGTTTCCAGAGCTTTGCTTCACGAGCGAGTGTACGGGGTAGCCATTGCTTAAACCACTCACAAATAGCCTGAACACTAAACCATAAACCGTAAAGCGGCAGCACCTGGAAACTAGCACCCCAAAGCCCCAAACCTCAAAGCCCTAAGCACCGAAAACAAGAAAACGTGGAACCCTAAACCATCGACTTTGAGTAGCACTGAGCCATCACTCTCTTTGCGAATCGGGGTCGGGGCACGGGTTACTAACTAAAAGGGCTGCTACTTACTACTATATAAGGCCTACTACAAGGGCTACAAAAAGGGTTACACAACTGAAAGGGCTACTATAAGTAGAGGGGCTCTATGAGGGTTAGTACAGAAGTTACTAATTTCAAGCGGTTCCTTCGTGCACTTGGACGGAGTGTTCAAGTGACCTGGATTTCGGACCCGCAAGGTAATTGTAGGAGTTAATGGTTCAGGGTTCAGGGTTTTGGGTTTCGGACTTCTTCCTTCTGGCACATCAGCAGATTCAAAAGGCTGAATGCTTGACTTAGAACCCAGCTGGCGGAACAAAACCCTATTGCAACCAACGCGTGAACAAACAAACAACCTCCTCCATCCCTCACCCTTCGAGCCCTTACAGAACCAACCCTAAACCATCCTAAACCCTCAAAGGAGACCTTTCACGATCCTTTGGGAGCACCTGCGGTGCAAAGACCTACAATATCCCAGCAAGCTACATGTTGAGCCCTGTCTAAGACATAGAATCCACACAGGAGCCCTCACAACAATCAGCGAGTATCATCATTATCATCATTATTATTATTTGTTCTTTATTAAGTTATCATGTTTTGTTATTATTTTGTGTTATTTCTTATAGTTACTACTACTACTACTACTACTACTACTACTACTGCTACTACTACTACTACTACTACTCCTCCTCCTCCTCCTGCTGCTGCTGCTGCTGTTATTATAGTTATTGTTATTGCTATTGTTACTATTATTGAACCCCTTTTCAGGAACCTTTACCGGGCGACTGCTAAGTAGAGGCGGTGCGCCGCCGACTCCATGGCAGAAGCAGGAGAAGATCCTCGGCGTACCGTAAAAACTCACTGCGCCTCAAGTACGGAGGGTTTAAGGTTTAGGGTTTAGGGTTTAGGGTACGGAAGGCACCTCAAATCACAGTGCATGGCGGTTTATAATTCAGAGCGCCTACGGTGTATTCCTAAATAAGGGGGTTCCCTGGTCTCCGGGTAGCGATGCGGGCTTGAAAGTTTTGCCCGAGTTCGTGGGGTTGGGTACCCAAGCCTTGCCTTTGAATCTGGAGGCCCTCAGCCCCAAGCCCAAAAAACTTTTACACCCTACTGTCACGTCCGAGCCCGACCGCTTTGGCTGCTAGCAAATGAGTTACCCTTCCGACCGAACCAGCCTCGCCTGAATCGTCCGAGTGGCGAGAGTCCAACAACCTCATACCGGTATGACTCATACCCTATTAAACCCTAAACGGCCCTAAACCCTAAACCCCTAAGTTTGACGGTAGTGAGGGTTTGCAGATTGTAACACACCGACTTCCGACGATGGATCCTCGCTTGCCATGTCCGAGTTGTGAGAGCGTAAACCCCTAAACTTCAAATCCCCACACCCGAACCCTAAGTCTGAAACCCTAAACCCTAGACCCTAGTAACTAAACCTTAAACCCTAGACCCTAAAAACTAAACCCTAAAAACTAAACCCTAAACCCTAAACCCTAAACCGGAACGCCTCCCCCATCCGAGGTTCTCGGTGCCCGCCGCGCCGCAGGTCAAGGATGAGCCTCCTCCGGAGAGGACCTCGGCTTCGGGTTTAGCGTTTAGGGCTCAGGAAACCCTAAACCTTAAACCCTAAACCCTAAACCCTAAACCCTAACCCTAACCCTAAACCCTAAACCCTGACATGGATTCAGGATGATTCGGAATGCAAGTTCAAGGTTTAGCTTTCAATGCTTCGGACTTAGAGTTTAGAGTTTAGGATTTATAGGCTTGAACAAAGGTGTTGAAGACTTTTCCCTTATGGTCCTTCTTTTCAAGAGCATTTATGG